GTAAGAAAACATTCTGTTCTCTAAAAACAAAACAAAGCAATGCTTTCGTTAATCTAAAACTAAAGGTTGGCTTTCCATTTCTTGTCAGGATCTGTGTTGCTAACTGTGGAAAGAAAATCAGAGAGTAAAAATTAAACAACAGATAAGTAAATACACTGAATTTTAAGTTATCTTGTGCCTAGAGAAAGCGTTCATTCTTAAAATAATTGTGTTGTTCAATATAGAGTTGGTTTTTTTTTGTATACTTAAAAAGTGAGGCTTCTAAATGAAATTTAAGCTTTGAGACTCTTGATTTTAAGGATTAAACTTCTGTAAAAACTATTAATTTGACAAATTAATGCCAGTAAATAATTACAAAATTACTGCTTTAATATTTTCTGAGTTTACTACCTTTACTACTGCTCAAAAGCTTTTCCGCTTTCAAATGTATCACATATAAAATTTTTTTGTGGTTTTGGGGGTCTAAGAGATAAAGGTACCTTCCCACTACACTCGCCTTTGACTGTCCTTCTGGTTGGTAAAGACTGGATCCCTGAGAGAGATTCTAAGTCCTGTGGGAACTTACAATTTACAGTCAGCTAGCTTTGTGCGACTGACCTTCCCAGTCTCTCTAACTTAAAGAGATATTTAAGGGAGCACTATGATGAGTGATGTTTTTCCTGAAAGGAAACTGGTGCATCTGTGAAAATATTCTAAATGCTGGCAATAAAAGAATTAAAAGTTGAAAGTATACTCACATATTTTTCCTTCTTTTTCTAGCTTTTTCAAATGAAGTAAGAGATTATGTTTAGCCACTTTATGTAAATGTTCGGGAGTATCCTAAAAGAAACATGATGAAAGAAAAACATTTTTAAAATTTGAAACAAACAAACAAACCCCACAATCTTTTTGAAACCTTTAAAGAAAAACAAAATGTAATAAAAGAAGTTCAACTTAAACACATTTTAAATAGTAATAACCTAAACAATTTCCCTTTGCACAAGTTTTGCTTTAGGTCACTGTATTTCTATACCTATTGCCTACAGATAAAATAGACTTGTATGTGTCATAAAGACAGTAGCAGTGTCTGTTTGTTCACTACTGAATACCCAGTGTTTAGCATAACAGTACATGGTAGAAACTCATTAATATTGATTTTTAAAAATATTTTCTCCAATTCTGTGAGTTGTCTATTTGTTCTTTTGATTGTGTGTTTGGCTGTGCAGAAGAAACTCATTATTATTTTATGAATCAGTGAATGTAAAAATCATTTTTAGTTTTGAGGACAATACAGTTGGCCCTGTACTGGTTTCCTGATTAAGTTATAAGACAGTATCTTTGCACATTTTTATAAAAGTATGTGTGCCTTTTAACTCATACATTATTTTTCCTTTACTTTCGCTATAACAGCAATGTATTATCGACAATTGTTATCTGAATGAAAAACAAAGCAGACATCTCTTCATTTTTTTTTTTTTTTAGAGACAGGGTCTGGCTCTGTTGCCTAGGCTGAACTTTAGTGCCCAGATCATAGCTCAGTGCAGCCTGGATCTCTTGGGATCAAGCAATCTCCCACCTCAGTCTCCCAAGTAGCTAGGACTACAGGTGCACACTACCATACCTGACTACCTTTTATTCTTTAGATAAGGATTATATTATATTTCTAAAGTCAAGCTTCTTCACTTTCTCTATTTCTCAGCTCCTTGAAAATGTTTTGCCAAGTCATCAAATTATCTCAGTCAAAATTCAATACATTCTTTACAGTCTCACCATGCCTGAAAGTCACCTGGCTTGTTTCTCCCTTTCAAAGATTGTTCTCTTTTTTTCCTCAATTACCCTATCTTTCTTATATTTCGTCTTCATTGGATATTCCTCCTGACTTCTCTTGAACATTGATTTCAATAATGAGTTATAGTAAATGTCACTGGCACTCTTCTATTTTTCACTCAGCCAACTCACCACAGGAATTGTGCATTAATGATTCCCAAATTTTAACTTCCAACACCAAAATTTGCCCATAAGCTCCAGCACTAATGAGAGAGGATACCCAAGAAAGGTGAGGTTTGGGAGAACAGGTCTTCTCAAAGAAACCACAAGGATACACCTGTAGGGTCCTCTCCATAGTGACTCAGCTCTTGGGAATTGTAAACTTAACTTCCTGGAACTTGGAAATTTCCACTTCTGTGAAACCCTGTAGTTCTATAGGGGCTTGAATAGCATTCCCGTTTGATTTAAACTGGCCAATGAGAAGGGTACCTGTGGGGTGGAACTTTCTGAGTGTTGATAAAAAGGGAAAGACCAAGCCAGTTGTCAAGCACGGCAATTTGGAATTCTTCTATGCTGTAAGCTCTCTCTTATAAACGTGGTGTTTGGGTGCTCTTTCTCTCTGTTGGGCCTTGTCTTCCTGCAAAACTATATGCTTACTTACTATATGCTACCTCTATCAGTGTCATCTTCTGGATCTTATTATGTGGTTTCCTTGCCTAAGATCCTTGGATGATCCTTCCCAGATTATTGGCTGAAGCCCAGTTTTTTAACTAGCAGTCAGGGAGGGATTCTCAGGTTGTGATCAATTCTCTTTCTTCTCTTATTTCCTGGAACCCTTGTCCATCTACATATTCAATCTGTGCTCCAGTCATATATGGTTTCTTTTTGGGGTTTCAAACACACAAAGTGTGGAGAGCGGGCTATGAGACTGGCAGGACCCTCACAGCCTAGGGAACATTCAGAGAATGAACCCCAAATTGCTTCTCCGATCTGAGACAGCCATATTCCTTTCTTCATGCTCCCTCTGCCAGAAGTCATGCAGCTCTTTCTTGGTCTAGTTAACTATGCAGAGACCCTTGTGATCTTTGCCTTCCTACTTCTTATAACATGTTAATAAAGTTGAGTAGAAACTACTAAGTCACAAAGTTCTTCCTTTGTTTTGTCAACTATGCTGAGATCCTCGTGATCTTGCCCTTCTCACTCCTTGTCATATGTTAATGAAGTTTAGTAGAAACCATTAACATGATGATTTGTCCTTAAAGTCATTTATATTTTCCAATTGTACTCTAAGACCAAAAATTACATCTTTTGTTTATGCTATTTCCCCATATTGTCTATGCTACTTCTTCCTGGACAACCCTGTACAGATATTATAAAATAAAGCTGATTTTGTGCTTTGGGGCTGGCTGTAGCCGTCAGCCCAGTCAGTCCTCCTGGTCCCATCCTTTGTTTCCGTGTCTTCTCTTGTGCTGTATTTTCCTCATTCCCCACCAATTCCACTCTGGTTCGCTCCCCCTCGCTGAGCTGGTTTGCGACAACAAAGCTCTTTTATTACTCTTAGTGTTTGAAAAGAGTTTTCCTTCTGTCTGCAATAACTTCCTTCTCCTACTCTGGCCTAGAAAATGCTTTCTCCTTCTTTAGGATTCAATTCAACGAATAATTTCCTGAAGGCTTTCCAGACAAGCTTTGTTATACTGCACCTTCAACAGGCAGCACTGATTTCTCTTTCTTTTTTTGTCCTGACATACTATGTATAGGATTTAGAAAAATGTGGGTGTAGAGGAAAAACATAAGATTTGAGTATTTGACATCTGCTACTTGTGTGTTCTGGGGAGTTATTTATACTTTTTGAGTTTCAATTCTTCTATTTAATTAGAATAATACTATCATTGTGTATTATAAAATACACAAGGTAAAAATTCAAGGACTATATATCAAGCACTGAGTATAGCATCTAGCATGTAGTAATGTGCTATATAAATGGAAACAATTATGATAAAGCCAGTATTACAAGTATCTATTGAACATATATCTTCACTAAACATGAATCCTTGGGAGGAGGGCTCTGTAGTCATCTTTGTATCTCTGAACCTAGTCCAGTGTGTGGCATATAAAAGGCATTCAACAAACATTTGTTGAATGAATAAATCATTCTGTAATACTTAGTATCTAATGCCATTCCATAAACAACAGGTGCTTCACACACATGCATAGTGAAGACACTTCTGAATACACATTTTGGAATAGGTCACTGAACACTGCCCACTCCTCCCAACTCCCCCCCCCCC